TTAAACTGTAATAATAACAAATAATTGCTGAGAAGTGTTTATTGAGAACTGCTTATCAAAGTTTGCATTGTTGTCAGGCCCTGCCCTGCCCCGCCCTCTCCCCCCACATGTTGTCCCGCTTTACCGATATTAAAATCTGGTCACCCTACCTTTCCAGCACAAGAGGAAGTCAGATTGCAGTGGCAGCCAAACAGCAAAAGTTTACTCAAGCAGATAGTTTAATCCTAAGGGAAGACAGGGTCTCCTCCTCACTAATGGGGAAAGATCCCTTATGACTTTCCTTCAGACTATTAATTTTCCCAGCTCTATCTTGCTCCCCCTATTTCTAACGTTTTTGCATTTCTTAGTTCATGTTTATGTATTTCTAATCTCATGTTTATGCATTTCTTACCTTATGTTTATGCGTTTATAATGTTATATAACTTCCATCCCATAATAGTTCCCACAATTCCATTTTTAATTGTATGCATGGGCAGTGGGAAATGTAAATGATACTAGGATGAAGGGCTCCATGTCAAAAGGTCAACGTTAGGTGCCCTACTTAGAACTGCATGTGCTTGTTGTCGCCAGAAACCACACATGCTCTCATGGTTTGACGTGTAGCTCTGGGGCTCGAACATGTACCCATTTCAGAGGGTCCTGTTGTCCATTGGGAGCTCTCTTAGCTTTACCTAAAACTCTTGGGTTGCAGTAGCTTCCTCTGTCTGAGGAGCAGTCTGCTTTTCTTCAGACTTTTTTTTTCTGTCTGTCCCTAACAGTACTTCCTGCATGTTTTGATGGTCCTTTTAACACTATGTTCCGTGACTTAAAGAAAACTGAGAAAATGTGCATTCACTTGGAGCAAGGACTGTGAGCTTCCTGGGGCAGCTGCAGCCATGGCCTGCAGGCCTCCTGGCCCATGCTGGGCCACCTGTCCACCCACAGTTGGGTGTGCCCATGAACTGTGGGTTTGTTTTCATTGGACCTAAAGAGGAAATAACCTTGCAAACAGTATTTGCACGAACAGCTGAAAGTGAGTCAGCACATTCTATCATCAAATAAGAAATCTGGAAGTTCCCTGAAAATGTCTAAGACTATATAATTTTTCTTAGGCTTTTGCATTTTCTTTTTGAATTAACCTCATGATTTTTTTGCTACTTACTATCATGTGGAAGCACAAAGTGGGCCCAGCACTATTTCTAGGCATCTGTGATCTAATGGGGCAGGGGTTAGAGACAGGGTAATGCAGGAGACCCTGGGAAGGAACTTCTTATTGGCAAAAGAGACTGCAGAGGTTTACCTAAGTGTCCTAAGTTACAATTAAAAAAAATAAAGCTGACTGTAACTACTTGAAAAGATTCTTTTTAGCAACCAGTATTATAATGAAGCATGATATTTAATTTTTAATTAATATCCACATTCAGCATATAAACTAATGTCAGGAATATCAGGAATTCCTACCCAGTTCTATTTTTAAATTCACATTAATAGTGAAGAAAGGAATAGAAACTTTTAACATTGCATATGTATATAGGGTCAAGAATAAATTTCTATCCTGTGGAGAGAAGCCGCTGCACACATTATATTTCACTGAAACTTGTTCTTGTCAAATGATTTCCTAATAGCAGGCAAGACGGAGACCTGTCACTATGCTCACCACACTCGTTTCCAGGAAAACTGCTCTGCTTAGCTTTTGTTCATCATCTGATTGTGACTCTCCAAATGGGCGCTTGGGAAATAATGAAAATCACTCAGGGAAAAATCCTTACAAATGCCCTGACCGGCAGGGAGCTGGGATGTTTCACAAGAGCAAGGATAGGCACTCTGGCTGCAGTCCCCTCGCAACCTCTTAGAACTCTGATTCCAGAGTCAGCCGTGAAATGGGGGGAAATCCCGGACTCTTAATCCAACGAAAATTGACACTAACAGTCTCAGCAGGGTTGCTGATATCTCAGAGGGCTGTTGAGCTTGTATGGCTACTCTTCTCCATCCACTTTAAGGTATATTCACTGTCATGGGTCATTCAGGAAAAAAAAAAGATGGAACTCTCAGGGTCACGTTTCTTTTAACACCATCTGAAAAGAAAAGCAAAGGGCCCTCCGTTTAATCTCTGCACTTCTCTTGTGGGTTTGCTCCTCCACGTCTGCTCTGCAGCTTTTCCTGCTGTGGAACCAACTTCCAGAAAAGCTGTCCCAGAGCCCGAGAGGAGGAACAGCAGAAATTCTGCCTTCCTACCACTTGACCTCACAGCCACAGCGTTGGACACACAAATGCTGTCAGATCTGTGACATGTGACAGGCTTTGTGTGTCCAGGGAGAACTGTGCTGGTGTATAGAGACTTGCTGACCCGACTGCTGGCTGTAGAGCAGTCTCCACAGAGGCCATCGTCGATGGGGCACAGCTGGATCGCACAGTGGTGCCATGTCGTCAGGCCACATCCCTGACCCCAACTCTAACACGCCAAGAGGCACGTGGAGGGGCATGGGGGAGGACGCTGTACTTCTGGAACTGCACCTCCCAAAGGTTCAGATGCCCGTGTGTTGGGGAGGGAAATCAATGTAGCTGTTACAAACACTAGAATCATTTTTTGGAATAACTTGAGTTTTATCCTTTCTTAGCTTAGCTGGAGTAAGAACCAGGCCTGTCCCAGGTACTGGTTGGGCATCCTAAATCCTGCATACTCCAGAAATCTGAAGCTTTTTGTGCACTGACATGATGATCAAAGGAAATGCTCATTGGGGCATTCTGGAGTTTGGGTCCAATATGTGATGTAAATATAAACGCTAATATCCCTCCCCTCAAATCCAAAACACTTCTGGTCCAAGCATTTTGGATGAGAGATACTCACCCTGAAACCTGATGGCTTTCTTATCAGCGCGGCAGAGATGGCTGGACTGCCGATGGCTTTGGAGGCTGTTGCGTCAGTGAGATGTCTTTCTGGCTGAATTGTAGCTGCAACAAAACATATTCTTATCACACCTCCTTTCAGGCTTAAGGACTTTTAAAGGCCAGAGTTCCACGTTTAAGCTCTTGAGATTTGTTATTTGCCTAACTTGCCTTTCAGCCAGTGATGTCATACAAGGATACCTTGGCACTTAGGGTTGTTCACTGTCAGTGACAGGTCAGCTGCAGGGCAAGCTGGGCCATCTGAGACCTCCTCCAGACCAAGGACAAATGTAATGCAGGAGGCTCAGCACCCGTAGTTCACTGGTTAGGCCACATACACTGGGGCTGGTGGGTTTGAACCCAGCTGGGCCTGCTAAACAATGACAACTGCAAAGAAAAAAAGCTGGGCATCATGGCAGGTGCCTGCAGTCCCAGCTACTTTGGAGGCTGAGGCAAGAGAATCGCTTAAGCTCAAGAGTTTCAGGTTGCTGTGAGCTGTGATGCCATGGCACTCTACTGAGGGCAACAGAGTGAGAATCTGTCTTAAAAAAAAAAAAAACCGTAATGTAATGCAGTAGTTTTCCAAGGCCTGTGGTCTGCATTTTACAGCAGCAGTGTTAAATGAGTAAGCCAACTAAGACAGTTCTCTGATTTCATTTCAAACATTAAGGTTCCTATGTCTGAGTCTGAAATGTAAGTTTGTCTTAATTTTGATCTCCCTTTCCCTTGGAGGGCTCAGCTTCTGATAGGTTAGGAGGTCTCAATGAAGCTTTTGCCGATTTAGGGAAGATACTGTATTATTTTATATTCCATCCGCAGGTGCTCACATCTTTTTTCCCAAATACTTCAGCCTTTTCCTCTGACTGCTCTTTTGCTGAATTTAGGCTACTTGGATCATGGCTTCTGTGAGGTTTTCCAGAGATGTAATTCCAGGAAAGACCAGTTCAAGGAACTGGGCTTAGGAACTGGGACCATATGGAGTTGGTCCAGAGTACCTTTCTACAAATATTCATTCTAACTACGTTTGAAATAATTGTCTGGGAAGGCTGAAAGCAACTGTCATACACTAATAAGATTAATAAAATTACATAGCCGGGGCATGCCTCCTCACAAATGGGAGTTCTTGATTCTATGTATAATTTTTTTTTTTAGGTAAATAGGAGGCTGTTGATATTTGGCTGCTGTTGTCCTACAGAGCTAGCAGCTTGTAGTTCAAGCTAATATATTTAAGACAGTAAGGTCTGGCTCTGCCTATTGCTGGAATTGTGTTCTCCTGCCTAGTCCTCAAAATCAGAAGAATAGTGAGAGAACAGGTACCCATAGCACAGCAGTTACCGCATCAGCCACATACACCAAGGCTGATGGGTTCGAGCCCAGCCCAGGCCAGCTTAGCAGCAATGACAACTGCAACAGAAGAATAGCCGGGCGTTGTGGTGGGCACCTGTAGTCCCAGCTACTTGGGAGGCTGAGGCAAGAGAATCACTTAAACCCAATCGTTGGAGGTTGCTGTGAGCTGTGACCCCCCCAGCACTCTACCAAGGGCAATAGCTTGAGACTCTTGTCTCAAAAAAAAAAAAATACTCAATAGTTCTGCATGTCCTAGTCATCAGAGTCCAGCAGTGGAAAGTCACAGTCCCCTTTACTGAATTCTATAATCTGAAAATTGGGAAGTGTGGTGGATTCCACTGACACAAAATAACATGTTGAAAAAATGCAAGTTCAAACATCCTTTCTTTTTCTCCCATAAACAGGAACAAGTAGAGCATAGAGCAGTGATGTGGAAACACCTGATATCCCACCAGAGGAAGCGGCGGAGGACGCTCCTGACAGATGATTGAGCAGGGTAACAGCTCCTGCTACAAACACCCCATGGCAAGTGGATGACCGGCTGCCCTAGGGCGCACGTGTGGAGGACACAGCGCAGGAGTACTGAGGCCGGACACAGGACACATGCCCTCCAGCTGACCTTCCAGTTTAACCACACAGAAGGAAAGCCCTGTGGGGTGGCTTTTTACAGAAAATGGACTTGAAGTCCAGGCTTTGAAGTTTGGGCCTCAGCTGGTCTGGGGCTGGCTGGCTGGAGGGGTGAACACTCACAGGAGGCAAGGGCGTCCCTCACCTCGGTGCTTCGGTGCAGAACTGCAGAGAAACAGCAATGTTGACCGCAGCCGTCTGCGCTGGCCGGGAAACCCGAACAAATAGTCGATCTTAAAAGTTACTGCAGTTCAAAAGTTCAGGGAGGGTTGGACACGCCCCCCCACCCCCCGCGCAGAAGAGGAGAGTGGGCAGGGTGAGGAGGGGGCGGCGTGTGGACACTTAAGTGAAATCCGATCTTGTGCCAAGAAAGCGTGTGCAGCTAGAAACCCCGAGTCACTACCGACCTTGAGCGGACCCGAGCGGCTGCCTGCGTGTAACAGCGGCCCAACCATGGAGAACTCGGTGGCCCCTTGCGTCCTTTTCCCCGGGGCGCGAGGCCATGCCGGGGCCGGAGAAGGCGCTCCGGGGAGTCCGGGAGAGGGCAGCCTGCAGCTGCCGGACGCCGCCGGGGGGGCGGGCGCTGCGTCCTCGGCGCAGACACCCTGCAGCCTCAGCGCGTCTCTGTGCTTCAGCTCCGGGGACGATTCCCCGCCGCAGTCTCGCGCCTCCGCGGAGGACAGCGCAGCGACCTTCCCGCCCCCATGTTGCGGCGGCCGGCGCGTGGTGAACCCGCAGTGGGAGGATACCAGCGCGGGCTCCGGGTCCCCGGAGGAGCCCGCGTCCCCGGAAGAGCCCGTGTGTCCGGAAGAGACCGCATCCCCGGAGGAGCGCGCGTACCCTGAGGAGCTTGCGTCTCCCAGAGAACCCACCCCGGAGGAGCCCGGGGAGCCCGCGCCAGTGCCTCCCGGGGCCGCTGCCGCCTACGGGGAGCCGGACCTGGTCATCGAGGTGTCGGGTCGCCGGCTCCGCGCTCACAAGGCGGTGCTGGCCGCGCGCAGCGACTTCTTCCGCGCGCGCGCGTCGCGGGACGTGCTGCGAGTGCAGGGTGTGAGCCTGGCAGCGCTGCGGCTGCTGCTAGCCGACGCGTACAGCGGGCGCATGGCGGGCGTGCGGCCCGACAACGTGGCCGAGGTGGTGGCCGGCGCGCGCCGCCTGCAGCTGCCCGGCGCCGCGCAGCGCGCCACCGACGCCGTGGGGCCGCAGCTAAGTCTGGCCAACTGCTACGAGGTGCTGAGCGCGGCCAAGCGGCAGCGCCTGTCTGAGCTGCGCGACGCCGCCTACCGCTTCATGAGCGACCACTATCTGGAGGTGCTGCGCGAGCCCAGCGTGTTCGGGCGTCTGTCGGGCGCGGAACGTGACCTGCTGCTGCGCCGCCGCCTGCGCGCGGGTCGCGCCCACCTACTTGTCGCGGCGCTCGGGCCTCCCGGGGACCGCGCAGGCAGCCGACCGCAGAGCCCCTTGGGGGACGCGGACGCGTGCGGCGACGCGGCCATCTACTGCTACCACTCCGCAGCGGGAGAATGGCGAGAGCTGACTAGGCTGCCGGAGGGCGCACCGGCGCGGGGATGCGGCCTGTGTGTGTTCTACAACTACCTCTTCGTGGCTGGCGGCTTGGGGCCTCCGGGCCCCGATGGCCTTGCGCGACCGTCCGATCAGGTCTTTTGCTACAACCCGGCCACCGATAGCTGGAGTACCGTGCGGCCGCTGCGCCAGGCGCGCTCGCAGCTGCAGCTGCTGGCCCTGGACGGACACCTGTACGCTATAGGCGGCGAGTGCCTGCTCAGCGTGGAGCGCTACGACCCGCGCGCCGACCGCTGGGCCGCCGTGGCGCCGCTACCGCGGGGCGCCTTCGCCGTGGCCCACGAGGCTACCACCTGCAACGGCGAGATCTACGTGTCCGGGGGCTCGCTGTTCTATCGCCTGCTCAAGTACGACCCCCGGCGCGACGAGTGGCAGGAGTGCCCGTGCAGCAGCAGCCGCCAGCGATCGGCCGACATGGTGGCTCTCGACGGCTTCATCTACCGCTTCGACCTATGCGGAGGCCGTGGCGAAGCGCAGGCAGCTACCGGGCCTGGCTCGGGTGTGCGCGTCTCCCGCTACCACTGCCTGGCCAAGCAGTGGAGCCAGTGCACCTTGCTGCTGAGGCCGCCTGGCGCCCCCGCGGGCCTGCAGCCCTTCCGCTGCGCCGCCCTGGACGGCACCATCTACTGCGTGAGCCGCGCGGGCACCTGGCGCTTTCTGCCCTCCTGCGACGGAGAGTCGGGTGGCGATGCGGCCCTGGGTGGCAGCTTCGAGCCCGAGGCGCCCGGGGTCCCCGTGGACGCCCGACCTGCTCTCTTTCCATTCGTGTTCAACCTGCCTGAGAAACCGGACAGAGTGGAGCAGGGCGCCGCGTAGGCCCGGCCGAGGCCAGCTGGGCATCTCCCTCGGGCAGCTCTGGGGCCCAAGGAGCCGCCCCCGTGGGCTGAGGTCCCAATGGGAAGGGGAGGGCGACGGGGGCAGAGGAGAGGAGGGAGAGGCGTGGGGTGGGCTGCTGGCCATGCTGGGTCGCTTTGGAGGTAGCCCGGAAGACACTTTGGCAATGCCGCTGCGAGGGCCACCTCCCTATTCTGCGTTCCTTTTTGCTTCATTTTGCTTGATGGGGTCGGGGATGTAAGACGTAGAGTGTGAGCAGACCGATAACCTTAGAGGTAAGACTAGGGATTCCCGAGGGAGAGGGAAACGCAATCAGAAGACCGGGCCACACGGCACAGCGGGCAGTCCCGGCTGTTCCTGGGGTGCACTCCGTCGCTGGGGTGCTGCTGAACTCGAGCTTCGGAGAGGAAACAGACGAGGCCACACTTAGAAAGCCGCGTGGGTCCCCCAGACCACCGTGCCAGACTTGGGACCCCACAGTAGGCCAACACGAACTATCATTAGTGAAGACACCGAGGGAAGGGCACACTTATTATTTTTGGTCTAAAGTGTAAAATCATAACTGATAAGTAAGGCTCTTTCTAATTTAGTTTAAAAGTTCATGCTATTGTGTTCTCGGCTTGGTTGGCTTAACTCCAAAAAGAGTAATTTAATGAACATCAAAGGTGAAGTCTTTGGTCACCCTTCAGAGTGCCTGTCCAACAGCGCTGGCGCATTTCCTCTGGGCACCCCTGACTCCCGGGACTGGGCCAAACGCTGAGCTCTAGAGCGGTGCCATCACCCTTTGGAGAGGGATTTAATACTTTTAGGTTGGGATATGTTAATAACTTTGGTCAATGGTATAGTGATGACTTGTCATTATTTGAATTCTAAGTCTTTGGTGACCAAATGTTGCCAAACAGCGTATGGTAACTTGGAAAACCTTATCAGCAAGGGTGCTTGTCTACCTTAAAAGGAATCTTTGCCCACTATATAGGCTCAACCACTTTCATGTTTTAGAATGAGTGTAAGGAAATATTATTCTTAAAACAAAAAGGTTAGAATCTTTTAAACAAGTTCGGGCACATTTTGAACTTACTATTTATGATGTTACATAATACATATTTAAAACATCATAAATAGTAAGTTCATAATAGTAATTTTTATAAGCATCATTCTAAGCAAATGTGGTACAGTGAAAAATGAGCATTTTAAAAGAATATAACAAGGAAATAATGTGCATTTTTTGTAGTTTAGAAAATAAACTACATTTATTTAATTGTGAATTCCATCGTACCCCAATAGAATTAAGTGAGACTCACTACTTTGATGGGGCATAAGGATTAAAAACAAATCAATCTTTTCTCATTGAATAGAATCTGTTACTTGTCAAATATGTATAGACATGGCATACTATTTATCAAGAGTTAAAGGATGAAATATGTGCTCACAAGGAGAGGTAATCTGATTTGGATTCTGAATCGAATCCATTTTCTTATAATAGGAAAAATGCACGTTGAAAGTTACTGGAACCTAATTAGATGAAATCATGCATACCTTAATATTATTTTCTTGTTAATCCAGTGATGAGAATTGCCCTTACTGTAGAAACAAGTGGGAAATTGAAAAACAGGTTATGCTTGTTAAAGAGTCTGTGATAGTGAACGGTCTTGGTTAAGTATATTTAGACGTGATCAGCTTGAATCTCCTGCATGATTCACGGGGATGGAATCTGTGGTTTCAGTTAGAGTATGCTCTGGTGACCTGAGTGCTTGTTCACAATTGATCATGAGCTGAGTGGGTATCTGGGCAACTTGGTGAATCGTTTCAGGCAAGAAAAACAGACTTCATATTGCCTGACCTTGTTGGTCAGGTATTTCTAGCAAAAGTAAAGAAATAATGTTAAGAAATGTACTTTCATATTACAGTACATTTTCTCTAGAATTTTAATATTAATGCTAAAGCTTTTCTATGAAATGGGACCAGGCTAATGTTTTCATCCCAGGCTAGTATGTGTTTTCATCCTTTGAACATCCGACTCATAACATATGATCACTGTGATTTTACTTGCAAAATCATTCCTGTGATGTTCTCTGTTTAAAAACACAATGCTGAGATTAGGCTTCCAGGGTAGAATTTTCCCCATCAGAAGGTATGAGGAGTGGTAGATGTCAGATGTGACAGCCACACGTGATGTGCCTCATTGGAGCTCCTGCATGTTATTCTAGCATCTGCATGTAGTGAAGAAATACCTGTAGCATCTTCATAGCATCATTTACTGGGGGACCTGACAGTAAAGTGCCAAGTCCATCCCATCATCTCGTCACAATGAGACATAAGAGAACCTGAAGAATAAGGAAAAGGAGTTAATGCCCCACTGGTGTTGGATGTCGTTTGGCCAACCCATTCTGAAAACGTGTGAGGTATTGTCTATCATATTACTAAATAGTAATATCACATGAAAGCAGATCCTGGAGGACCTGACATGTCCTGAGCACCAGTTTGTGCTTTTGGGGGGCCAGTACCTGGGGTGTGAGCCACAGGAGTCATGCCTTCCAAGGTGTTTGTTTTGAGCACTGCTGGGGGCCCCCAGTCCTCCCTGAGACTTGCCTCTAGAAGTCTGATGCTACAATGTAGAATATTCCCAAAGTCAACTCGGTGTTCTGAGTCTTCACCCAACACTGTTTAGGAAAACAGTTGGTAGGAAAATATTCCTGATCGCGAATCAGTTAAGAATCACATAAGGCTAATGCCTTTATGACAGCCATTCATAATTCATGTAAACTTAACCTTTGCACAGTGACACTTCTAGGTATCTGAAAGAACAGTGGTGTTTTATGGGGGAAATGTGGTGTGCCCGAAAGCTTGGTGTTTTGGTACCTGACCAGCAGTGACTTTTCTATTGTCAATCAAGGTTCGTTTGGAACCCAAAGGAGTGAGCTGAAGACTGCTGCTTCCTGCTCTTGCTGTTTTTATTCTTTGTCTTGGAAACAACCCTGGACTCCAGGGATTGGCAGCTTTTGGAGTTTGGACTTAGAACTCAGTGATCTGATTTCTGTGTCTGTGGTGCCACCTATTTCTTTCCACCAAGAAAATGAATGCTGTGGAAATTCTTTGACTACTTAGTCAAAACTCTTAACCTGCAAATACTTAAGTAAGATACCAGTCATCGGCTCCACCTCTGTTAAGTTCTGGTGTTGCGCTAGTAATTCTGGTAGCAGCTGTTGAATCTGTTGGTCTCTTAGACAACTTCCTGTAAAAGATTTTGAAATTGTCTGTTTTTGAGGTTCTTTTTTCTGTTTCTAAACTCAAGATAGAGTCAAGACATAATCTGTTGTAGCATTTTAGTAGAGCAGATATAAACAAGAGCATTCTTTTGTGTTTTTACTATAGATGCTTTCCTAAAAAAGATGTATTTTCGGGTTAAAAATAAATTTTTGTATTTCCCCCTTTTTTATGTATTCGTAAGAGAATAATGAGCTAAAAATGGAAACCTGCAAATGTTCCAGTTGCATCCAGATTTATTTCAGCAGCCGCATCACTCACACTTTGTCCGCATCCAGGAAGAAGCTTGGACCTGGAGGGGTTCAAGCTCCCAGCACACAAGCTGGGTCTGGTCAGTGCTTTAATCTCACGAAGTGAATTGGTTTGCATTGAATTGAAACAAGAGGCTCGATGTATTCTAACGTGAGATTAATGCTCTTCCAGAGCTTGTTACAGCTCTAACTAGTATACTCATCTGTTGCCATTTATTAAAGATAAACTATACCTGTTTAATGCAAAGTTGAGGCCAGCTGTTACTGTATGTGTAGTTAATGTATTTGTTAACACCCAAGTTTTAAAATCCTGGGCATTAATACTGTAAAACTGTGTGCGAATGTCAACTTATGCAGAGATGAAATAAATCCTTGGAAAATGCCAGTCCTCTTGAGATGTGTGCCGAGGTTGCTTTTCTCCCGGTCAGCAGTGGTAGGCCAGGCAAGGCACTCTCCTGGGCAAGTGTGACCTTCATGCTGCATGGCCCGGGGCCAGCATCCACGTCTGCCACAGGGCAGGATCCCTGAGTTGGGGCGTCTCCTACCCCAGGCACATTTGGGAGCCTCCTCTGCAACAGCTGCCCTTGCTTCCCAGAGAGGCCAGCAGCTCTGAGGATGTCCACTCAGGGTATCTGTGTGGCCACTTCAGGTCCCATGAAGGGCCACAGAGAAAGTGCCAGGTGGTGAGGATGGGAGAGACAGGGGGCCGGGCTAGGTCTTTGCCACGGTCTCCCTGGGAAGGTGGGACAGCTCAGGTTGGCTCCTCAGATAGCGCCAGTGGCCCTGGGTAGCAGCAGTGGTGTCGGTTGACCGATGCCCGGCCTGGTGGTGACTCAGCACATGGGGCTGGTCTGTGCAGGAGAGACCAGTTTCCTGCCCAGCCTGCTGCCATCTCTAAAGATTTGGTCGTCCCTCAGAGGCAGCCTCTCCCTGGCCAGGTGGGTGAGCTCTGTGAGATGTCAAAACATCCAAGATGTAAAATACAAAAAATAAGAGGTTAGATTAGTACGACCAGCAGTCACTCTGCAGGTGCCAGGGTATGTCAGGCAGGAGTGTCAGGACCCATCTCAGGCTTCCTGGAGTTCCCATCTCCTCTCCTGAGCAGCTTCCTGTCCTCTGAGGTTCCAGAGTTTGTGGGGACCTGGGGGCTGATGCACGGCACGTCCCCCACATTCAGGACAGTGCATGTGCAGCTTTTTGTGGGATGTAAGCTTTCAGTGTATGTATTATTTTTAGGGCCACTTTACATGGTGTGATTGACATGTGCTGAAACGCACTCGTTCCCAGCATGCAGTTCCTCGGCTCTGTCAGACGCACCTGCCTGGATATGTGGCTCCGCGTCATTGCACCACAATCTGCAGGAACAGTGACGTTTCACTCCAGAAGTCCCTTCTTATTTCTTGCAGTCTGTTTCTGTATCTCCAGCCCAGTGACAGCCTGCTTTTGTCACTAGAGGTTGGCTTTACC